GCAAGACCCATTTAGACTCCAAAGAAGGAAGCAGGTCTAACAGCCAGAGTGTCCTGCGTTCGTTTATGGGCCGCGGATGGGTGCGACTTCCAATGAGCATCCGCAGAGGCTAGTAGAGCATGAAGGTCCCTCAGGGGCACTACTGAAGAAACAGATCCCAAGTTCTCTGTAAAATATGTACGCATGAAAGATTCTATTTGTTGGCAGGTGACCTGAGTGGTCAATAAACATTCGTTAATGCGCCAGTGAAAAGGGTGCCATGCTGACCTCGAAAGGGCAAAGAGTAGAACTAGGGGTTCGTGATCTGACCAGGGCGAGGAAGGGATAGATATTCGCCTGACTAAAGGGAAGCTGTTGGACATGCATATATATGTGGTCAATTCTGCAGAAACGGTTATGGGAATTTGAGTAGAACGTGAAATCGTACTCAGCTGGGTGAAGTTCCCTCCAAACGTCTGCCAGCCCACAGTCTGCAAAAGAGAGCACAAATGTTCCGCTAGCACTAAGTTGTGAGAAGGGGCCACCCCCGGGCATAGCGCCTGTGTAAAGCGGAATCCAAAGTAACATTTGAATCCCCCAAAAGAAGTAGATCCTTGGAGTGTCAGGAAATGATGGTGCAAAGATGGGCAAAAAATTTATGCTGAAAGCAATTGGGGGCGTAGTAAGAGACAAAAGTGACCTTCTGGTCCCAAAGGGTGCCCTGAAGGAGCAAGTACCTACCCGTGGGGTCCACTATATGCTAAACACAGATGAAGGGGAGATTACGTTTAAGAGCTATCAGAACACCCCGTCATTTCTCAGGAGCTGATGCTTTGTAGATTAAGTTTGATTAAGTTTTATTATCCCCAATCCATAACAAATATTTAAATAACTATCACTACTATGCCCCCAATAAAATTCTAAGGGCTCATGTACACTGCAGCTGCTAAACTGAAGTTTAGGAGCAGTTGTGCATTTTTTTTCAGCAGCCCGTCCATGTACACATAGTCGTTTACAAGCAGTTGAGGTTACAGGCATTTTTTTTACAGTACAAAAATTGCATTCAGGAGTAGAGTTTACTGGCATTTCAGAACGCCAAATGCTTGTAACCACGTGTAAACGCGTTTATACGCGTTTTTGGCTGTGCCATATCCAGATGCTGTCCAGTGCCTTTTTTCTTCATTAAAAATTAATGCACAGCATTTTCCATGTATTCAAATGGACCTAGTCCCCCGGGGCAGTCAGTTCAAGGTTTCGCATGCAGGAAAAATGGTAGAACGTGCTGCATTATTTCTGCATAGAACTGTACTGGAACACATCAAAAAACACAGCAAAAAAGCACAATGAGTGTTGTGTGCACTCCAGAATGCATCCAGAGGCATTACAGCACTATGTAGCTCCTCCCACAGTGCCAAACATGGTTCACGAGCCACTTTTGCTAGTTGCACCACCCATCAGAAAGTAGTGCTCTCTCTGCTTCTGCTCTATTTCTCACAAAATGTCTGAAATAGTTATTTACTATTTTTTAGTGCATTCTTGGCATTTGGGAGGGTCTCCTGACGTTATAGTTTAAAAACGCTTCTAAACGCAAACGCGCATAAATGCGATAGGTAAATGCGGCTAAACTGACTGTTTTAACCTACATTTTCCAGCAGCCAGTTTCCAGTGTTCAGAACAGTTTTCCAAATACCCTGTGAACATGAGCCCTAATAAGATTCACGAACTTGTTTTTATGGCTGTTATCCAATAATGATCCCCCTTCTTATGATTATTTTTATCGTTCTTTTTTCTGTTATATTCATGCGTTAACTTGTATTTGAGAATGTGTGTAATAAGACCATGACGTTTATTTTGTATTTATTCACAAAATTTCCTTGATCAGTGACTTTTACTCCAAATGAGTCATATGGCCCTTTAAATGGTAACTGTCACTAATTGACTGCATGTCATATAGACAAAATCAGCTTGACAAAGGAGCGTGTTAGGACTGCCATCTCACAGTGCATGCTCAGGAAACGTGACGCTACGAAGCCCGGTGATGTCATTGCGCACACACTGTGCTCCACGGTGTGTTCCAAGCCTCGGTGCCAGACCTCCTCCATTTTTCCTGACTCTGACAGATCATCATCCTGGATTGCAAACAATGCCATTCACCGTGGCTAAAACCCCATTGATGGATATTGAAGTGCCTTTTTTTATCTACCCTCCTGTAAGTTGCTGTCTTTCATGTGCAATAAATCAAGTTTTTACAGTTTACACTTAGAGGCGCCTTTCTCCTCTCTTTTCTTACATGTATCCTTCTGGACGCAAGCTTCAATCCAGTGAAAGCCTGCCATAAGTGAGCAGGACTACAACAGTATTGTTGGCTACACACCTGTCAGTGATTACTTGACAGAACATTCCCTATTTTTCTCATCTCTATAACCCTAATGGGTTCCATCTGTATGGTATTTATATACAAGTGTTTTCCTTCATATTGATGTTTTTTGGTACTCCCATGTGTGTTTATTTCACCTTCGGATTATACATAGGTTGCACTCTTTTTCTTTTTTTCTGGAACAAGACAGGGGTGCCCACTTTCACCTCTCCTATTTGTATTATCTTTGGAGCCCTTGGCTTCTAAGATATAGTGTAGCTATAAAAGGAATTCAAATTGGAGACATGGAACACAAGGTTGCAGCGTATGCAGATGATGTAGTATTTTATGCTGTAAATCCTAGATTAACACTGTCAAATGTAATGAGAATATTAAAACATTATGGGGAACTGTCAAACTTTAAGATTAATTTTTTTAAGTCAGAGATATTGAGTATGTATCTACCGAAGTCATAAAGATAGGTGATTCAAGGGAAATTCCTGTTCACTTGGGAGGGGTAAAGAACTAAAATATTTAGGAGTCAAGTTAACACCGACACTGAAGGGTATATATCATGCAAATTATATCCTGTTAATACAGTAAATGCTATAAAAGAGGAACTGAGGAAAATTTCAAAAGGATCACTCTCTTGGATAGGGTGGGTAAACATTGCCAAGATGGTGATATTGCCTAAAATCATATATAAATTTAAAATGTTGCCGATATATTTGCCATTGGGATATTTAGGAGTACTGAAAAAAAATAATGATGGGCAAATAAAAAATAAAGGGTAAATTAGGAGATCCTAAGTAATGATAAAGAAAAAGGGGGTTTAAATATGCCGGATTTTATAAGATATTATTTTGCTGTACTCTTGACACGAATAATAATGGACTGAGCATACAATGAAAATGAGGAAAGTTGGGTAAAGATTGAAACATTTTTAAGTGAAGTACAATTAGATAAAATTATTTGGATTCCACAACAATACCGTATGTTAGCAGAAAACACTAGCACTTTGACATGAAATGTTTTGAGGATTTGGGATTTAATTTATAAACAAATGGGATGGGAATATAATTCACCATTAATACCACAAGCACTGGGGAAGAGTAGTATTTCAGGGACATGGATAAAAGATAAGAATGCACGTTTAAAAGATATTATGAGAATGGGAGAAATATGCTCTTTACAGGAAACACAAAAAAGATATGTTTTTCTTGATGGATGAATGGCAGTAGTATTAATTAAAACATTTTATTGCATCACTGTCACAGCCTATAAGGGGGGGGGGGGGGGGGGTTGCACCCATTAGATCACTTGATGAGTTTAAATTGAATAAAAAAACACTGCACTTCCCATATGTATAAGACACTTACCATAATATTTGAACCAACCTCATTAGGGTATATAGAGAAATGGAAAAATGAGTTGGGAACACAATTGAATGAAGAGAAAAATAAAATATTTAGGATCATACAGGGAGCAATGGATATGAACACAGTTGAGATGAATTATACATTTCTGTCAAGCTGGTATGCCACGCTCAGTAGATTTCATAAGTATCACCCAGAGAACTCCCCACTTTATTGGAGAGGTTATAGGAGGGAGGGTACACTGGTTCATATATGGTGGGAATGTCCCAAAATACAAGAATTTTGGCAGTTTGATAGTGCAACATATATTAGAAATAGTGGGAAAAGTGTAATAATGGACCCATGGGTGTGTCTAATTCATGGTACCGATCTCACTGTGAAACAATATAAGAACAGTATTGTATTTTATTTAATTAATGCAGCAAAAGGATTGATCCCTAAATTCTGGAAGGCCCAGGATTCACAAAAAATTAAAGACTGGATAAAGAGGGTAGAATATATTTATAGGAAAGAAGAGCTATACCATAGTGGAGAAGATAAAATGGAGAAATTAATGAAAACATGGGAAAAGTGGTGTGATTTTAAGACTACACGGAGATTCGCTGAACTGGTTTTTTAGTGAAGAAGGAGCATTGGTGAAATAAGAAGAGAATGGGTTGGGGGAATTATAAGGAGGGGGTGGGGGGAGACGGGAGGGGTAAATAAATTGAGTTTTGTTATGAATAATAGATGATTTGTGTTTGTATTGTATTAGTTTTGGTATATTGTAATTAACAAGAATAAAAATATAATAAAAAAAACAAAAAAACCTTATTCATTGCAGATTACCACTCATTAGATGTTGCAGCCAAGTTAGTTTTCATTCCTTTATTGTCAACTGGTAATGCTGAGAATACCACACTTTCCCTCTCTTCATGACTACACTCACTTCTCCATTTTATGTATGGAATTGTTGTGACACAGGCTGGACTTCAATCATTTCTATCTCTGTTCATTTCTATTACATGGTGGATTAATGGGACAAGTAGTTTAAAAAAAAAAGGAAAGATAATATTGTTATGCTGAGCTTTAAGTGCACATGCAATGACAAGGGAAGATCAACAGATATTGGGGGGGGGGGGGGGGGGGGGGGGGGGGGGGGGGGGGGGGGGGGGGGGGGGGGGGGGGGGGGGGGGGGGGTCTGTACTTACTAAAAAAAGAAAACTAATGCAGCCACCACATCGAAAGGACTTGTAAGCTGCAATATGTTACATTTTTGTTTTGGGGTTTAGATCTACTTTAAAACATACCTTTGTAGTCTGTTCCATCCTTCCACAACCAACTGTTGTATAAGAGCTTGATGGTACTCCACTCCAAGCCTTAAAATTAATAAGAAAAATTATATACTGTGCGCATCTATATATATATATGTTTTTACACACACACACACACACACACACACACACACACACAACAACACACACACACACACACACACACACACACACACACACACACACACACACTTAAACAAAAAAAAAAGAGAGAAATAAAACAGCAAGATCCCTTCTTTACTTTACCTCATAGCAGCATTCAAGGTTTTCACCAAGTGTTTGTCTTTGATATAGCTGACTTTATTTTCTGCCAAGCTACGAAGAGTGACAAATTCAGGGTGATTTCGGATTCCCTCATTTGCTTCTGTCAAATTTGTTTTGCTCTGCATTTCCCAGAGCAAATTGATTGCAAAGCTGGCATGATCGACAGAGAGTAAAGGTTTATTGAACGCAACAATTTGGAATAACTGATGTTCATGTTTGCATTGCCTCAGCTTCTCCAGCAATGGGTCTAAACTATTACGAGTCTTAATCAAGCTCAGTGAAATATGTAATGTCCTGTTGCAGCGAAACATGTCTGGGCTACAGGGAAGCAGTCTTAAAAGGTCCAGTAGAAAGGAACATTTATTTTGCTGTAAAGCAATCTTCCATTTAACTCTATGGACATTTTTATGTCATGTCACAATGCTTCAAATGTATCTACCTGAAAGGAAAAGGAGAATGAACAGTTCAATGGGCGGCATGAAAGTTATAATAAACAACATTAAATCACCAGAGTGATCATGCCAGAAAGCTGTAATCTGTACTGTGCCAATCATAAGCATACAGTGACGGATTCCTGTTGGGATCAATCAGGTGAGTTTGGACTAGGATCTGACCCTTTCATCCCTACTCAACCCTTCCGTGCATGATGACGTCACCTCTTGGTCCCAACCCACACATTTCATCACTTGACGTCCTCTGGGAATGGAAACTATGGATAAGTTTGTTAAAGTGCCTGTCTAGTAAACAGGAGATCTTAAGTTCGACTCTCCTTCTGCTCCCAGAGGACGTCCAGTGACAAAAAGCGTAGGGCAGGGCCAGAAGGTGACATCACCACGCATGGCAGGGTTGAGTCTTACGGTTTAGGTTGCGACCGGAGACAACCCAGTTTGCAATTATATGCGAGTTCACTTGTGCCAGTGGAGAGACAAATATATGAGTGGTTTTCTAATGTTTTTATTGGAATAAACATGGTGAATGGTTTTACTTTACGGAAGCGCCTTTCTTCTTTTTCCTTCTATGAGTAATTATGAGTGCGTTGTTTTAAGAAGCCCCTGAAGATAGAACTGTCAGCTGCAGATCGTTACTCCCTGAGCAAGAAGTGTTTACGCTGGTTTATGATTTGACCAGCATATCGCTCTGGTGAGTTTATTTAATCTATTTGGTGGTGGAAGAGCACTTTTGCTGGTGGTGTCATCAGAATGGTTTAGCACTCACAAAAAGGAAGAATTTCCATTGGTGGACAGTTTCAAAAACATATTTTGTATGGACTTGATAACACATGCTGGATTTGGTGGGACATTAGAGAGTGATTTTTGAGTTATTATTTTTGGTGTCAACACGGCTTATGGTATTATATTTTTTGCACCTTTGTATATTCTTGCACTGAATGCTTTGTTTTAAGAACATATATGTATATATGATAAGAGGTATATAGGGGAAAGATTGTATATATATTTGGTTACACTTTACAAGAGGGGGAGGGGGGTCACATAATATAACATTATATTTGCACTGTTTTTAGCACATTGCACTTTATTTTAGAACAAGAGATTAGAAGCAGCTGGGCAACTGCTGTTCTATTTCTTAAAGAGTAACACAGCGTTTATGGTTATACCATAAAGAACGGCAGCTGCAATATAATATAACAACATTTAGAACCACTCCGATGCATTCTATGCATGAAGCTAAAAAAAACCCCTCTGCATGCATCTCCCCCCCCCCCCCCCTTATACTTACCCAAGCCCAATCTTGATGCAGCAATGTGGGGGGGGGGGGAAATCGAACTGTGTGTGTCAATGGAGTGAGCAAGCATGCACGAGTGCCTTCAGGGCAGCAAGTGACTTGCTATGGAAGCACTCAGCAGGGAGGAGTCAGGAGTGCCAGCAGGAAATCCGAGAAGAGAACAAATAGGGCAGCTCTGTGCAAAACCATTGCACAGAACAGGTAATTAAAACATGTTTTTTTTTTTTTAAATTGTCTCTAGAATCACTTTAAGATCAACTATCAACTATGTAGTGCTATTGCTGCATGATTTGATACAATCTTAATCGGTTATTTCATTTAGAGTGCATTAAAGTATAACTAAAGGCAAAACTTTTTTTTTTTATTTTTTTTTATTTTGGACAGAGTGTAGAGGGATTAGAACCCCTGTCAATTTTCTATTGCTGTCTGTGCCCCGGTTAAGGAGATTCACTCTCTATATTTGTCCTGTTTACCATGGTCATTGCAAGTGAAAGAAAAACGCAGATTTTGGGTGTCCCCAGACAAGAGGGGAAATCTTCCAATGGAGACACTAGTTGTTCTGGTGACCTGGGGGTCCCCAGGGATTCCCCTTAATTTGCAAGGTTTTCCTCTCACTTCCTGTTTGGCTATAGGGCAGGAAGTGAAAGGAAACCTCTTCAATGGAACACAAAATAAATCTGACAAGATAACCCTCTCTTGCGCTATACAAAATGGAAAAAAAAAAAAAAGTTTTTGCGTATAGTTTTTAAACCACAATCTCTACATTCACTGTGCATTTCTGCACTTACGTTTACAGAGCATTTAAAAGTATTTGCAGTGTGATTTTGTTATAATTTTTTCATTTAATTAACCACTTGCCCTCCAGAGGATTTACTCCCCTTCGTGACCAGGCCCTTTTTTTGCGTTACGGTGCTGCGTTACTTTAACTGACAACTGCGCGGTCTTTCAACGATGCACCCAAATGAAATTTATGTCCTTTTTTTGAGCTTTCGGCGGTATTTGATCGCCTGTGCATTTTTTATTTTTTGTGCTATTACAAAAAAAAAAAAAAAAAGACTGACAATATTGAAAACTTTTTTTAAAAAAAAATAAAATTTTTTACTTTTTGCTATTAAACATGTCCAGTAAAAAAATAAAACAAAAATCAAATTTCATCATAAATTTAGGCAAAAATGTATTCTGCTTCAGGTATAAAAAAAAAATACCAATACGTGTAAATTAATTGGTTTACGTGAAAGTTATAGCGTTTACAAATGGCGGTATGTATACTGGTATTTTTTTTTTTTTTTTTAATTACTAGTAATGGCGGCGATCAGTGACTTATAGCGGGACTGCAGCGGGCATTCTGACACTGGAGGGAACTGACTTGGTGTCAATGACATCCTCAGTGACACCAATACAGTGATCAGTGCTAATAAAAAGCACTGACACTGTACTAATGGCACTGGGCAGGAAGGAGTTAACATGTGGGGCGATCAAAGGGTTAGCTGTGTGCAGTTTTACTTGGGGTTTTGTATGTGTGCACACTGTAAGGAAAGCAGTGTGCACGAGCTGACAGGGAGAACGGTTTTGTTTGCAAACAGTTCTCCCCTCGTCGCAGATGCTCGGCACTCATTGGGCGCCGGCGAGTAATCACCGGCTGGGACTCAGTGATTGACAGCCACGGCCGCGAATGGTGGCGCGGGTAGGGTGCACGCACGCCCCCTTCCCGGAAATGCAAAACTTCTGCTATAGGGCAGACGGGAAGCGGTTAATCACCACTGGGTTTTATTTTTTTGCTAAACAAACTAAAAAAGACTGAAAATTTTGAAAAAACAAAAAACAGAGTTAGACTTACCGGTAACTCATTTTCTATAGTCTTCCAGGACAGCCCTTGAGACGTAGAGCTCTTCCCTCCACGACAGGAAACATTAGTCCAGAACCTTAAAAGGTGGACCTCCAGGTCTCCCTCTTCAGTATTCCCAAGAACCAGAGGAAGGCACTAAAAAGACAACCATTTATGCATAAACATACATTACCGTACAATACTCAGGGTGGAAAATCCCAGGTGTCTTGGAAGACTTATAGAAAATGAGTTACCGATAAGCCATAACGCTGGTTCTCTCAAAAACGTTTTTTCATGACAGCCCCTTGAGACCATAACCAAGAACTTACTTGCTTGTAGGACTTTGTGCCAAACACCTGATCCTCACTAGAAAGCAGATCCAGGTGCTCATGTTTCACGAAGGTAGAATAGCTGGTGGCCGCCTTACAGATCTGTTCTGGCGAGGCACCAGCTCTCTCTGCCCAGAATGCAGACAAAGATCTGGTTGAAAGGGTGGAATCTCTAACAAATTATACAATTCCGCGATAGCCATTTTAATACATCTAGCTATGGTTGATTTGGAAGCACTGCAACCCTTCCGTGTTCCAGCAAAAAGAACAAATAGAGAATCTGATTTTCTGAATTCTCTGGACCTACTAAGATAGATGTTAAAGTCTTTTGGCCTAACAAACTTAATCTTTCTTCAGACGGTTGGCAAAATTATATCTTGGGACCTATGAAAAAAAGGAGAAAACTTTGGAAAGAAACCCAGGATCCATTTTGAGAACAATTCTATCCTCAAAAACTGATAAAAAGGGTTCCATAATGGAGAGTGCCTGCAATTCACTAACCCTACGGGGTTGATGTGATCGCTACCAAAAATACAGTTTTTAAAGTTAAAAACTTTATTGAAGACTTCTCCAGAGGTTCAAAAGGACAAAGGACCAAAGCTTTTAAGACTAAAGACAGATCCCAAACTGGAAAGGCCCTGACCACCGCCAGCCTTGACTTGGAAAGGGCCCTGAAAAAGTCTGCTACAAAAGGATCCTGCTGGAGGGAGACCTGAAAGAAAGCACTAAGGGCCGAGGCCTGCACCTTTAAAGTTCTAACCAAAAGGCCCTGGTCTGCCCCATCCAGGAAAAAAAAATCTAAGACTGTTGGGATATCCAGAGGGCTCCAACCATGATCCGACAACCAGGAGTTGAATCTTTTCCAGTAAAATAAATAGCTCTGGTTACTGGCTTGCAGTAGTTCACCAAAGTCCTCAGTACTCAGTCCAAAATCCCCTGAGCTTTCAGGAGCGGTTCTTCAGTAGCCACGCCGCCAGCTTCAAAGTCTTCACCTGAGGGTGCAGCAGCGGACACTGTGAGACCAGAACATCCCTCTCCGGAAGAGGGAACGGGGGAACCGAGGAAAGGCTCCACGGCAGAGAGAACCATAGTCTCTTTGGCCAAAATGGGGCCAGCAGAATGAGGTTTGTCTTTTCTCACAAAAATTTTCGCAGGACTGCTAGGACCAGCCTTACTGGAGGAAACGCATAATAGAGACTAAATTCCCACACATTTGCGAGGGTATCTATACCCAAGGCCCGATCCCATGGATTTAGGGAGAAGAACTGGCTGACCTTCCTGTTCTCTTAGCAAGCAAAGAGATCCGCCTTCGGCATGCCCCATTTCATAGTGATGGTCGCAAACACTTCTTGGTTGAGAGACCAATTCGTCGTGCTTGACTGGATGCCGACTTAGGAAGTCTGCTAGGGAATTCTGAGCTCCTTTCAGATGGATGGCAGAATTCAAAACGCAAATTTAGCTTGGCCCAAGACCTTATGCTGTCCCTGATTGCTTGGAGAGGAGGGCTTCTTGTACTCCCTGCTTGTTGATGTATGCCACCGTAATCATATTGTCTGAACGGATCTGCAGGTGACAGTCTATTAAATCTGCTTGAAAGGAATCCAGCGCTCACTGGACTGCTAGAAGCTCCCTCTGATTTGAGGACCTCCTAGACTCCCCCAAGGACCACAACTCCTGGGCCGCTCTGCTGCCTAGATGTGCTCCCCATCCAAAGCTGCTGGCATCCGTCGTGATAAATGGATATGGTATGGTCCATTCCAGACAACTGCCAAGATAGTACTGAATTTGCCCCCACCAAAGGGATCTGGACTGGAAGATCCAGCGCAGACCTGTCCCCGTTCCAAACTCTTAGAAGAAAAGTCTGCAGTGGGTGTTGATAGAAACTCGGCCAGGGACCAGCAGGGAAGCATGATGTCATGAGACCCACTGCCCTCATGATGTCCCTTACTGAAATGACAAGATTGTTCTGCAGCCCTGCCAGCACCTGGTCTATCCTGAGAATTTTCTCCTGTGGAAGGAAGATCTCTCTACCGAGGAAATCTCGTAACCCAGATAGGTAACTATCTGGGAGGGAGTTAAACATGACTTGTTTCTTCTTATGAGCCACCCCAGATTCTGAAGGAAGTTCTGAGCAACCTGCAGATCCTCTGCCAACTGTTGGTGAGAACTGGCCACAAAGAGGAGATCGTCCAGATAGGGAATGATCGTAATACACCTCATTCTTAAGGGGGGCCAAGGCCTCCGCAAGCACTTTCATAAAAATTCTTGGTGCGGAGGCCAGACCGAAAGGTAGAGCTTGACACTGCAAGTGGTGGATCTCTATACCAATCCTTACAGCTGTCCTTAGGTATTTCTGACACGCATACTGTATGGGGATGTGAAGATACACGTCCCTCAGGCCTAGCATAGCCATGAACCAATCTGGGTAAAGGATGTTTTTTTTTACAGAAAAGATCGATTCCATCCTGAAGTGTTTGTATCTTAAGAGACTGATTTAGAGGGCGCAGGTTCAAGATAAGGCAAAACTTGCCTGGGGGCTTTTCCACCATGAAAACATGGGAATAAAATCCCATTCCCTGCTCATTCTGGGAAACCCGAGTAAGGACCTGTTGATCCATAAGGTTTTCAATCAGGCCACATAGAGCCTGTGCCTTCTCCTGATTCCTGGGAAGGTTGGTTAGCAGATACCTGGCAGGGGGACTGGAGTCGAACGCCAACCTGTACCCATTTCCTACCAAGTCCAGAATGTACTGGTTCAAGGAGATCGAAGCCCAATGAGGGAGAAAGGTCCCAAGTCTTCCTCCCACTGGGACGCTTGAGTCATTGAGCCTTGGCGGGGCCCTGAGGAGGATTGAATAAGATCCCCCCCCCCTTACCCTTGTTCTCGTGCCCTGTCCAATGTTTCTTAGGCTCGACATCCTTACTTTGCTGGCCCTGCGTTTTCTAGTGAAAAAACCTCCCGGAGTAAGATCTCTTTTTACTCTCTGGAAACGCCTTCTTTTTATCGGCTTGGATGCTGAATCCCCTGCCCAGGTCTTCATCTATAAGGCCCTTCTAGCCACATTCACCAGGGCAGACATTCTTGCGGCTAGTTTAACTGACTCGCAGAGGCATCAGCGAGGAAACCTGCCGCTCTAAACAGCAAAGGAAAGGATTTCAGTATTTGTTGCCTGGAAGTCCCTGACGAGAGATGCGTCTGTAACTGGGTAAGCCAGCATTCCAGATTTCTGGCGACACATGTGGCCGATAAAGCCGACTTAAAACTGATGGAGGTAGAATTCCAGGCCCTCCGGAGCAAAATTTCTCCTCTCTTATTTAACCTACAAGCTCTCAATTTTAACCTACAACAAGCAGAAACACAATACAGAACATAATAAACCTGAGCTCCTCATTCCAAACACCACTGTGTTGGGGGAGAAAACAGAAGTGTGCCCCACCATCACCTTGGTGGGCACGAGAGTCTCTATTTCACTACACATGTGAAGGATTATTGTGGACATGGTTATTCATCATAACTGGATTCAGGGACTGGGAGAAAGACTACCCCTAGAATCAGCAAGAGGAAGACAGCAAATCCCCAAGCCTACCTGAGAGAAGCAGGTGCTCGAGGAACCAGGGTCCACCTGCTGGGAGGGGGCCAGCACCCTCCATTCTGTTCCTATGGTGTTGGTAGCTACAGCCTCTGCTGGGTCTCCTTCACACTTCAACAGCCGCTCGAGCACTGTTACCTGCATGGCCGTGGAGACCGAAACCACGAGTCTCCCGATGCCCACCAATGACATCACTGCGACCAGAACTTCTGGTTATCCAGCTTGGAGCGCAGCTGTTCGGCCTCACGGAAGTCGCGGCCGCCCGCCTGCCCAGCGGTTAGGACGCTAAGTCGGCCAGTCCTTTCTGGCGGTGGCGCTGGACACCATCGATGGTCCTCCTTCTCTGAGGACTAGAAAACAAAAGAAGAGCAGCCCCAGTCCTCTCTGCAATGGAGGGATCGTGCCGGGCAAGGAGGAGTTAACTTACCTACCCAGGAGCCACCAGCACCCTCTTGAGCCTAGGGCTCAGGTTCCTAATACATGCAACATATCCTTCTGGAAGAAACACTAATACTGAAGACTGAGACCTGGAGGTCCACCTTTTAAGGTTCTGGGCTTAAGTGTTTCCTGTCCCGGAGGGCGAAGCTCTATGTCTCAAGGGGCTGTCCTGGAAGACTTTTTTGAGAAAAGTTTTTACTTACCGTATTTGCCGGCGTATAAGACGACTGGGCGTATAAGATGACCCCCTACTTTTCTTGCTAAAATGTAGTGTTTGGGCTAAGACTACCCCTCTTCCAATGCACACCAGTGGGAGGAATAGTGCCCCATCATCGGTGTCAGTGGGAGGAATAGTGCCCCATCATTGGCATTAGTGGCAGGAATAGTGCCCCATCATTGGCATTAGTGGCAGGAATAGTGCCCCATCATTAGTATCAGTGGGGGTAATAGTGCCCCGTCATTGGTATCAGTGGCAGGAATAGTGCCCCGTCATTGGTATCAGTGGGGGGAATAGGTGCCCCATCATTGGTATCAGTGGCAGGAATAGTGCCCCATCATTGGTATCAGTGGGAGGAATAGTGCCCCATCATTGGTATCAGTGGGGGGAATAGTGCCCCATCATTAGTATCAGTGGGGGGAATAGTGCCCCATCATTAGTATCAGTGGGGGGAATAGTGCCCCATCATTAGTATCAGTGGGGGGAATAGTGCCCCATCATTGGTGTCAGTGGGAGGAATGGTGTCCCAACATTGGTGTCAGTGGGAGGAATGGTGTCCCATCATTGGTGTCAGTGGGGGGTGGAATAGTGCCCCATCATTGGTGTCAGTGGGGGGTGGAATAGTGCCCCATCATTGGTGTCAGTGGGGGGTGGAATAGTGCCCCATCATTGGTGTCAGTGGGGGGTGGAATAGTGCCCCATCATTGGTGTCAGTGGGGGGGGGGGGGAATAGTGCCCCATCATTGGTGTCAGTGGGGGGGGGAATAGTGCCCCATCATTGGTGTCAGTGATTGGCCGCCTGTGTGCCCCCCTCGCCGATGATTGGCCGCCTGTGTGCCTTTCCTGAGCTACAGTTCTGGCGGCCAATCACCGGTGAGGAGGCGGAGCCGAGCGAACATCCAGTGGCCGAACTGAAGGGGCAGCCGCGCTTCCTGGACCGGATCATCGTGGGACCGGAGCCAGGTAAGAAACAGCCCCTGCCCACCCATGTACTTAGTGTCCCTTCCGTTGGAAGGGGGGGGCGGTGGCGGCACCGCGCTGCCCCCCTAAAAAGTGTCAGTAAGCCGTATACCAGAGTATAAGACGACCCCCGACTTTTGAGAAGATTTTCAAGGGGTAAAAAGTTGTCTTATACGCCGGCAAATACGGTAGTTTCTGTTATAAAATTTTGCAAATAAGTAATTTTTCTCCTTCACTGATGTGCGCTAATCAGGCTGCAGTGTTAAGCACTGATGGGCATTGACAGGCATCACTGGTGGGCACTGAAAGGCAGCACACATATATGGCGCTGATAGGCGGCACTGATTGGAACTGTTGGGCGGCACTGATAGGCATCACTGACTGACACTGAAAGGCAGGTCTGATGTGAACTGATAGGTGGCATTGATGGGCACTGACAGGTGTCATTGATGGACACTGACAGGTGGCAATTATGGGGCTACACTGATCATCAAGAAACTGATGACCAGTGTACATGTCCCCTCTGAAGAATGCCGCTTACAGGTTCTCCTTTCCTCACGCACTGTCAGTGTGAGAAGAGGACTACCGATAACTGGCATTTCCTAATTACATGTGATCAGCTGTGATTGGAAACAGCTGATCACATGATAGAGCCTGTGTCATTGACTCTTTTGTCCCAGGGACACAGCACACCCCCAATCTCCGCGACATGCCCCCAGGGGCGTGCATGCACAGCTAGAGTGGAGGATGTCATATGACATCCGCCCAGAACAAGAGAACTGCCGCCCTCCCATCATTTCCTTATATGGCGGGCAGGAGGCGTTATAAACACATATGAAAGCTTGGCAATAGTGTAAACTACAAACATTTTTCTTGCATGTTTTTGTACTGCATTTATGGTGCTCCCTCCAGACGATTTACCCTTCTTCCTGACCAGACCATTTTTTGCGATACAGCGCTGCGTTACTTTAACTGACAATTGTGCAGTCATGCAATGCTGTAAATAAATGAAATTTATGTCCTTTTTTCCCCACAAATAGTGCTTTCTTTTGGTGGTATTTGATCACCTCAGTGGTTTTTATTTTTTGCGGTATAAACAAAAAAAGATGGACAAATTTGAAAAAGAAGTTTTTACTTTTTTCTAGAAAACATATTCAATAAAAAAAATTTAATAAATCAAATTTCGTCATAAATTTAGGCCAAAATGTATTCTGTTACATGTCTTTGCTAAAAAAAAAAAATCCCAATACGTGTAAATTAATTGGTGTAGTGAAAGTCATAGTGTCTACAAATGGCGATATATATATTGGTATTTTTATTTTTTTATAAAAGTAATGGTGCCGATCCGCGACTTATAGCTTGACTGCGTCAGGCATTCTGACAGTGGGGGGAACTAACTGCCACTGACTTCCCCAGTGACACTAATAAAAAGCACTGACACTGTAATAATGACATTGGAAAGGAAGGGGTTAAGTTTTGGGCTATCAAAGGGTTAACTGTGTGCTATTTTACTGTGCAGAGAGATACAAAGCAGCATGTCCTTGCTGACAGCAGAGAGACCGGTGTGGTTTACACACAGGTCTCTCCCGTCAGCTTTCCCCAATGATCGCAGGGTGGTGGCGGGGAATCTCCAGCTGGCATCCAGTGATTGACATCCCTAGTTGCCAATGGTGGCGCGGGTACGGCGGGGTGCATGCCCCCTACCCAGATATGCAAATCACGTGTGTGATTTTGCACTGCCCTGTTGCAGTAGTTCTACTATAGGGCAGTGGGCAAGCAGTTAAAAACACATCTGACTGCATCTGGTGTAAACGAGCCTTAGGTGTCCTCCTATTACATAATTTTGGTGAATGTAAGGGAGATTGTACAGAGATAATGTAATTAAATTGTATAGTGTATGGCCAACTTAGCACAGAAAGCTGCAGTTTGTATCTGCAGCCTACTGTCAGAGCTCAGGTTATTTATCTAGATCTGGCCAGATATGATTGATCATAAAAAAAGAAAAAAAAAAGCACATCCAACAGCAATACAACTTCCATGACAATACATAGCAATTGAAATATCATTCACCTTGGAGATTAAATCAGGTCCATCATCACATGAAAAAACAGACTCGCTCTCTCACATCATCAGTGTTCTGAAATACTTACAAAGACGAGTAGACTTCCGGATATTGGAGAGCGGTATGGAAGATAGGCTCTGTGACATTAGAAGCATGCACTACCTAGTCCGCCATTCACTTCCTGTCCCATACCTGATGTCACAGAATGTCACGTAGAAACCTGGCACAGAGTTCATTCCCAAACAGGTACAAAACACTGCTATAAAAAAAAACTGTCTTGTATATGATAATAAAGATCCACAGTGCCTTGCAGCCGAATTCTCTGCCTTCCAAAAGTACACAACAGAGTGCACAACCTTCAACCTTGCACAGCCATACCCAGAAACGAAACACTTCCTAGAACCAAGCCTCACTCTGACTTCCCTTCCCTTCCTAAAACCAAGCCTCACTCTGACTTCCTTTCCCTTCCTAGAACCAAGGCGCACTCTGACTTCCCTTCCTAGAACCAAGCCTCACTATGACTTTCCTTCCCGTCCCTTCCTAGAACCAAGCCTCACTCTGGCTTCCCTTCCTAGAACCAAGCCTCACTCTGACAATCCCTTCCTAGAACCAAGCCTCACTTGAATTCCCTTCCTAGAACCAAGCCTCACTCTGACTTCCCTTCCCGCCCCTTCCTAGAACCAAGCCTTACTCTGACTTCCCTTCCCGCCCCTTCCTAGAACCAAGCCTCACTCTGACTTCCCTTCCCGCCCCTTCCTAGAACCAAGCCTCACTCTGACTTCCCTTCTTCCTCTTCCTAGAACTACGCCTCACTCTGACTTCCCTCCCCGTCCTAGAACCAAGCCTCATTCTGTGTTACATTGCGCTCTTCCACAGCCACGCCTCACTCTGACTTCCCTAGCTGACCGCCACATCCAAAATCAATCTTCTCTAGTTTGACGGCCAGCTTCTGTCAAACGAGTATGCCGGAAAACCAGCAGCCCATTGGCATCCGATCAGCCTTCTCAGCCAATGGCTGTGAGCGCTGACCATTGAGTTCTGGCGCCGGATGGGGGGGGGGGGGGGGAAAATAGTTCAGCAGGGAGATTGCTATACTAACATTGCATTGTACAGAGATCTCCTTGGGAACTCCTCAGTTTTTATACTTACCATGTGAACCATGCTTTACCGAACAAGCTGACATTAGAAGCTGATTGGTTACTATGGACAGCTACACCAGATTCTATGTACACCGGTTTTAGTAAATCGCCCCTAAGAGTGTTAGCATGCAGTGCTGTCTCACTCTGAGTAATATTTCTGGTCTCTGCTTCTGTGTGAGTACTATTACTGGTCTCTTTTAAAGCCAAGCTCCTGACTTTTTTTGCTGGCTCCTTCCAAAACCATACATGACTCGGAGTTCCTTTGCTGGTCTTTTTCAAAACCAAATTTATGTCTGACTACAATTGCTGGTCTCTCCAAAAAAAGCTTTCCTTCTGAGTTTCCTTGTTGGTCTCATCCAGAACAAAGCTTCTCTCTAAGTATTCTTGCTGGTCCCTTCCAAAACCAAGCCTGACTCAGAGTTCTTGTGCTGATCTCTACCAAACCAAGCTTCACTCTGAGTACCATTGCTGGTCTATCCAATACCAAGATTCCTCTGTTGGTCTCTTCCAAAATCAAGTTTCTTTCTGAGTTTCCTTGTTAGTATCTTTCAAAATTAGGCCCAATGTTAGGTTTACACTAGCCTGTAAGGTAAAATGCAGTGTGATGTGCATTTCAGCTTCACTCTTCATTAATTTCAATACAGTGTGGTGTGTTTCACTGCTTAGCTGTGTGATATGCAGTGCCATCCAGTACTCTGCAGAAATATGCAAACAAGGTGAATTTTTTCATACTGCACTGCACATTACACCAGCGTTGTAGTGTGAACAAGCCTTTACTTTGTGCTAGTATGCATTGTGCTAGTGCGCATATTCCTCATATGAGAGTTCCAGGGGGCAATCAAAACCAGTAGGAGCTACCTACCACACTAGTTCATAGCACCATGTATAATGATAACATCATTTCATGCTCTATATAGTATGTAGCTCTAATCACTCTAAAATATTAGGCTAGGGTTGCCGTATACACCAACGGTTCTACATGGGCATCCATCTATTGAGAATTTTTTTTTAAACTTTTTTATTTATTTATTTTGTTAACTACTTGCCGCCCATCTGCAATGTGCTAGCTCACATGGTAGATTAGCACATTTAACCCTTTGATCGCCCCTATTAAACCCTTTGATCTCCCCGTCACCCAGCCAGTGCCATTAGTACAGTGTCAGTATATAAACTTTTTCACTGATCACTGTATTACTGCCAGTAGTGAAATCAGATAGTGTCAGGGTCAGTTAAAGCCCCTCCCTGCCAGGGTCAGCTAGCGTTAGATTGCCCGCACACTATCGCACTTACACTATAGGTCCCTGATCACCGCCATTACTAGCATAGTGTTTGTACAGATCCACATATTGATCACAAACAGATCTATACTAGTGCCTCCTTAGTATAGTGTCCCCAAAAATGCAGTGTTAGCATGATCAGCCCCGTTTGCTGCCAGCAGTAGCATTTACCCCTCTGCTGCTTTTCACTGAATATTTGTAATTTCAGTTAATTGTGGCCAAAGCAATTTATACGCACAACAATGCATCAGTGCCCACCCAAAAATCAGCTCTTGCCAGACGATTAGCATGGAAACTTATCATGGTTTCTGAATTTAAAACTTTTTGGGCCTAACCCTCAACATGAGCATTA